ATTTATAACTTGAACTTCATATTATTAGCCCTAGTAAGTCTCGAAGTCAACCCCTCGTCACTATTTCTTCGTGGTTAGACGAGATACTTACTGGGGTACATATTTTTATGTACTCATGCTACACTTCTGTACTTGAATGTACAGGCTTTGAGGCAGGTGCATCTGGCCATCAGTCCGGCGCGTAGATTTGGACTCCTCAGCTCGAGACTTCCCGGTGAGCTGCCCTTCCGAGCCGTTCCGCAACAGCTGGAGTCTCTGCTTTGTCTTTATGTTCCTATCTATTTCTTTTCTATACAGTAGGATAGCATGATTTTGTATATTCTACTAGATTGCCCACACACTTGTGATACTAGGTCTTGGCACACACATTAGTAGACTTATGATTTTTGGCTTACTTTCATGATTTCAATTCGTATATATTACTTTCATTTAATTATTCTTAAATTTTAAACTCTAAATTTCTTAATCAATAAGGAAACGTTCTCACATACTAATTATTCAAATGAGAATTTATTGGTTGATTAGTATTGGCTTGCCTAACAACGGTGTTGGGCGCCATCACGGCCTTATCCGGAATTTGGCATAACATAGCAGAAGTTAGGTTCTTGAAGTAGAATACAAGTGCACACTTAGCTATGGGTAGCATTCTGTCATTTTGGTTGAGGCTCGAATTTTACAAGTTGATTAGTCAAATTTTTAAATGATCGTTGTCTTCCATAAAGGGCAAATAAAAGAGGTTACATGCTTGTTAGCTGATAGGCAAAACTATCTATAGGCACTGCTGTTTTGTGATATGTCGGAAATAGAAGTAGTATAGGATAGGATAATTTTGTTTTAGTTGCTTGAGGACAAGCAAGTGTCTAAGTTGGAGGTGCTGATGTGCCGTAGAATTTCGGCACTTTTGATACCAGTTACATAGATTTTAGTTAGTCTTTCAAAGTATTTTTAGTTAATTCTTATGAAGTTTTGGTGTTTTGTAGTGCACGAGACTTGAAGAACCAAAAACATGGAAAAGAAGTCAAAAATCCATAAAAGGGCGGAAATGCGGCAAGTCTGCAACTGCAGAAGTGATGTGCGGACCGCAAACCCACCGCAGACTGAAGCAGTTCTTTTGGACACTAGAGAGAAGATTATGCAGTCCATTATGCGATCACATAACACTTTCGCGGACCGCATAATAACCACGCAATTGCAACTGGAAATTTGGCTTAACACTTTTTGCGATGAAGTCTGCATTCGCATAATTGTTATGCTGACTGTAGAACCGGAATGCGATGGAGAACTGGGCTTCAAGACTTGCAATTATGTGATGCCTGTTTCAATTATGCAGACCGCATACATGTTCCGCGACCACTATACGGTTGCAGAAGGGCTCTGCAGGGGCAACTTTGTCCAATCTTAACCCCGACTTTTAGTCTAATATAAATAGATTTACTAGGGTTTTTGTAGGTTATTGAGTCTAAAAAAGAGACCACATTGAAGGCATTGAATATACCATTATTTTTGAAACTTTTGAAGAGAGAATCTTGTACCTTTGTAAGCTTTATGACTTTATTTATTGCTTTATTTTTGTACTTGTTTTAAATACTAAAGTTGTGGACCCTAAATGGGTGCAATGTTAATGAGTGTTTAACATTGAATCTATATATATATAATGGTTGGTTGATATTTATTCATTTCTTATGCTTTATTTATTGTTGGTGGTTGCAAACATTGATTCATTCCATTTTACTCTATCTTTACTTGGAAAAGTGGGTTAGGGTTTGGTAGAAGTGAATATCAAGAACTCAAGGCTTTAAACCTTGTTTAATAGAATCGCTTAGCAATAAGTAGGTTCTACTTGGCATAAATTGGTTATTCTTAATTGCAACTCTTTTATATTTGGAAAAATCATAAAGAGAAAATACTACCCAATTATTGAAAAATATTAGGCAGTTATTTAGAAACCATTTGCATATCAAAGGACCTTCCATTAAAAATATATTATATTAATACTGGTAGCATTAGATTTCATTGATGGGGACACAACCTTGGTTTCCTTAATCAAATTAACATTCTCACAACAAAATAGTCATCTTGTTAATTCACAATTATATCATTCTTTTTTTAAGCTAAAGGAGTAGAGTTACGACTTAAGTCAAGCTTCACACTATTCAAGTAATATTTTCACACATGTTATCTGTGGGATTCGACCCAACCTTGTTGGATTATTATATTTGACACCAACCACCTTACAATATTTATTTAAGTGTAATTTGAGCGTATCAATCATCAATGCCAATTTATAATCAAACGCACGCAACGTGGAGGAATATGATAACTATCGAAGCTCAACAAATTTAATAATTACTATATTTATTATGATACTTGGAGAAAATGACCTGCACGTTCTACACCCATTCTTTCTATATTTGGAAAATCTTTAAAATTAAGTTATATACAGTGGTTTACTTCTAGATTAATGTGACCTTTGAAATCTTTGACTTTCACTACTAGAAATAGGCCTATGGCAACGGTTCAGAAACTGTTACTATAGACGAGTTTATTGCAACGGTTGTAACCGTTGCAATAAGACATTGGTACTACCGGCACACTTTGGCTATAAAATCGTTGCATTTGGGTGGAAACCGTTCCGATAGATGTTTTATTTTGCAACGTTTATTTGAACCGTTCCAATAGATATATTTATTGCAACGAATCTTGGAGAAAAATTCAATGGAAACAGTTATTAATTCCCTCCTAACCTCTCTTCCCCCCCCCCCC